AAAACAGTTATGGAACTTCTTAGCAGGAAGGGGCGTTGAATAACGTTTGGTCAAAACCTCTCATTTTGCCCACTTATTTATTCACTTATCCATATCAAGTATTTATTTTTGTGACAGGCCTTGGGAATATAATGATGCATGAAGTAGAAATGGTTCTGATCTTATAGAAATTATCATTTATTGGGGGAGACAAATATTAGAGAAGTTTTAAAAATTTAAAATTTCCATTATGAAGAGGGCTATGAAGAAGTATAATGAGCTTTGACAGCATGTCGCAGCAGGCCCTAATTTTGTCTGGGAGGCCAGCAGTGGTTTTGCTGAGCAAGTGTCATTTAAGCCGAGCCTTGAAGGACAAGTAAAATTTAGTAAGATGGGGGAAACCATTCTAGGAAGAAAGAAAAGGAAGTGGACCTGAATCAGTGGCTGAGCTGGGGCTAGCAGAAAACAGGTATCATGGCTCCAAGCCCTGCATTCTTCCCACTGGCCTGGGCTGTTTTAACCCTGTATCAGAGCTGTGAGCTCACTGTGAAGAGGGATGTGCCCCGTGGGTATAGGCACACTAGGAGGGTGAAGCAGGGTGGGCAAAGTCATGGAGGAGAGAGAGCATCCAGCATGTGTGGGAGGGAGCAGGTTGGCCCATGCCTGGAATGGAGGCTGTCGCAGGAGAGAAGGGAGGAAGTTGGAAGAGGAAGCTAGAGATAGAAGGATGAAGACTTTACCCTGGGGGCTCATGTTGAGATTGAAAGGGTGGGCCAGGTAAGATGTTGAGATCAGCTATTGTCTTATCGACCTGACCATTAGTCCAGGCTTCTTCTGGAAAGAATTTATGGTAGCTCAGGAAGATTTTTACCCTACTTGTTTTGCTTTTTGATGCATATGCTAGGATCATGAAACCTCATGTTTTTATAGCCCCCTTTAAGTCTAACTTTGTGGGTTCATTTCTTCCCTTTTTTCCTCTCTACTTCCCATTAGCACCTGTGAGTACATTATGTATGCCCAATATGGTGCTAGATGCTGGAGTTACAAAGACAGTAAGAGATGATCCTGCCAGTAAGGGAGCCCAGGATGGCAGGGCACGCAAGGGATGTACATGTGGAGGGGAGGGGGCAGCTACTGCCAAGGTGTAAGCCAGGAGACTATTCCAAAGACTTGGGCCATGTGTGTGGATGAGCAAAGCAAAGAGGTGAATCTTACCAGCTCATCAAGCCTTTTTTGATCTTTTAACATCAGGTTGGGAGCTCTGTGAGGGTAGAGATCAGCCTTTCTGAGGAGGAGCCAGGTGCCCAGGGATGGATGGATGGATAATGGATGTTAATGTTTGTATGACAGCACTAGTAAAAGGATCCCTGAGAATAGAAGAAGAGAGAACCAAGTACAATTAAGGATCCTGATATCTCCCATTCCTTGCTAGTTGTGGTTTCTGTTTCTCCAGGTTCTGTGTAGGGTTAACTGATTTAGAGACTGTTGGTTTAGAACCTCTCCTCTTTGGCTAAACTTCACAGTTTAAAGCAGATAAATCAGGTTTCATAATTAGATTCTGAGCCTTGATTTTTCTGGTGGCTTGAGGTCTTGTGGGGGGACTTTCATCCATATATGGGGTGGTCTCTGGTTAAGAGGAATTGGTGGTTTCTTAAAAGGTGATTTGAGTGGCCCTGCCCATCCAGGATCCCCTGTCAGAGAGGGGATCTGCTGGTGGCTGGGTGAGTGCCACAAACACATGACTCTGCCTGGCAAATGCAGGGAGATTGGCTGCGGGAATCGTTTACTCTTTTTGTGTAGCCGGGGGTAGGGCTTTTAAGGTGTAGCCCCTCCCCAGGGGCTACCTCATTTCCTGTCCAGTTCAGGAGAGCTCTTACTTGCCTCCTCTTCAGCCATCCTGTTCCTTCATCCATGCCATTGCTTCTTCCTCTATGCTCTCCTCCATCCTGCCACAGTCTCTGTATCTGCTCTATGTGACGGCTCACGGGCTCCTTCGGCTGGGTGCATGTTCCCACCTCGCCCGGTTAGGAAGCTGACTTTCTTGGTGGCTCCCTTTTCAAATTACTAACTCAACGTTCTTTTCTCAAATGAACGATCCTTCTATAAAGTCAATACCTTCCCTCCCCATGATTGTTGTTTTGCAAGATTTTTTTTTTACACTACATTTGCTTGATGTGGAGGTTTATTTGTTTTCTGGAGTCCTTTTTAATGGCAGGATTGGGGACCAGGATGACACTGGCTTCTAGGCACCCTGGTCTAGCGTGCTCTCCAGGCTGTGATTGTTCTGTTGGCATTATGGTGGAGTCTCTGTAATAAAGAATCACATTAAATCAAGGTTATAGTTCTTATAATCAATTCCATCAAGTAATGTACTAAAGGTTTTGGAAAGAGAAACCAAATTCTTTAAAAAGGGAGAGGGAGCAGGAGAAGACAAGGGGATAAAAGAAGCCCAAACAATTCAGTTATACTAATAGCCCTTGTATTATTGTGGCAAAATTACTTACAAATAAAAGCCAAAGAGGAAAAACAGGCTGTGTTGGGTAGGTGTACTCTCTGTTCCCTGCCTTGTTTTTCTGCTCTAAAGTATAACGCTGTGTTGACGTGGGGATGTAACTGCTATGAATATTGATGGCAGCAAAAGCCTTTTTTTCTGTCTGGCCTAGTAAATAAAGCAGAAAGGATAAAAAAGGAAGAGGAATTGAAAAATCAGCATGCTGTTTTCAGTTTATCTCTTTCCCTTAGAACTCTAAGTCTTGAAAACATATTGACAATCTACATTTGGTGGTCAGGGTCTAATTTGAGAACACTGGATTGGTATTTTCAGGGATTTTTGCTTCTAGTTAAAAGCAACAATATTGCTCCTCCTTTTAGCTAACAAAGTTAATGTCACTGCCTCATTGAAGCCTTCCTGGATCTCTCCTCCCCACCCGGCAGCAAAGTGGGTCTCTGTTCCTCAGAACATCCACAGTGTTGTGAATGTGCCTCCCTTGGGAGCACTCTACTCAGGGATATGGCAGTGAACAGAAGGCAAGCTCTTGCTCGTGTGAGGTCACAGGGAATATGGAGAGTAGACAAAGGAGTCCTTGGAGGTTTGTGTGCGGCAGGAAGGGGGCGTGTGCGCTGCTGCTCTGGGAACATTTCATAAGCCCGCTCACCCCCCGCCTGGAGAGTGGGCTGTGTGGAGGGAGTGGGGTTATGGTCTTCACAGGCTGGTGAAGGATGTGGGATGCACGGGATGAGTGAAGCCGAGGACAGGACCTGTGGGGAGGTCTTAGAGGAAGCATGGGTTTGAAGGTTGAGGATGAGCTAGGCTTTTAAAATTGAAAACACACTGACTCTGGCTGACTCACACCACGAAAGAATTTATGAGACTGGTATGATGGTGTTCCGAGGATCAAAGGGCACTCTGGTAGGGCAGATTAGGAATCACAGGGACCCAGGAAGGAAGAATGGATGAACCGGCTTTCTGGCATGACCAGTGGGGAGCAGAGAATGGGCGTGAAGGCTGGGGTCCAGCAGTGGTTGGATGGTTCCCCTGGTGGTAAAGAGGAAGGATGTGGTGGCAAGACACAGGAAGTTCAGCTTGGGACTGGGACTCCCTGGCAACAGAGGGATAGCCCTCTGGTGGCAGATGGCTCAAGCCCAGGGTAGTTTAGGCAAAATAGTGGTCACATATAACAAAGCAATGTCCTTGCACGAGAGAAATGGACTAATAACCCTTTGACCTTATCAAAGGGCTAAAGATGCAGAATTACTCTTTGTCAGTTACCTCTCTTGGGATATTCTCTGTGTGAGTGTTCCAAACCCCGAGCTCTCCACCAGACTAAACCTTTGGAGGATAGGGTCCATAGTGGAGACATTATCCTAATCCTGGCTCCTGGTATGATGCCCGTCATGCAGAAGAGGCTCTCACTACATATTTCCTGAGCCAAATTTATTTGACCTTTTGCACTAGGTATCTTAAGAAATGAATTCTGTGATTTCTATTTTCTTGAGATGGTGGTAACTTTCCTCAGGTCCCACGGAGTAGAATTAATATAAGTAAAGGACTTTATGGCCCATATGGAAGAGTTTTAATCACTGATGGCTTTTCATTTGGTTATTATTTAAGTAGCTTCTTGCCAGGAAATGCCTCTTGTAAAATTAATTGTATACATCCCAGTCAGTCCATATTTCTATTAAAACTGAAGCTGTACAAGAAAACCTTTATAAAAGAGAAAAGAGTCAAAATTTTTATACCTGCTGATGGATGTGTTTTCTGTACTCACGGAGTTGCGTGAGTAGGTCTGGAAAGGTTCTAAGAGTCATCTAGCCTGAGGGTGGCGTCTTGAAGGTCTGAGGCAGTCAGATGGGAATGGCTGCTGGGACTGTTAGATGAGAAGGACTCAGAGACTTATCCCAGGCTTCCTGGGAACGTGCATGGTGACTACTCAGCAGTGTCAGCTGGGGAGAGGTCACATGCCAATAAGCAGGCAATGGTTTGCCATCCTGGATTCACCCTCCTTGTTGTGCGGATGAGGAAACTTAGGTTGAGAGGAGGGGGCCTTGCCCAAGGTCACCTTGCTATGCAGTGACAAAGCTGACCCTGACTTATGCGAGGGTTAAAGCAGATGCATCTTTTTTCTTCTAATGGACATTCTGTCCAAAGCCACCATTGGAATATTGGTTGCACCCTGTGCTTTCCTGGGCCTGATTTGGCAATCTCAGGAGGAAAGCACACTGCATTTTGCAAATGTGTGCAAATAACAAACATGTCTGCTGTCCGCTATGTCCTCGGCAGACTCATGGCACGCCCATCAGGGCAGGTGGCAGATTGCAATCATGCAGCCCGGAATGAAAGTGTTTTACACTTAGTTGCCTGTGAGACATCCAGTTTTGGAATTAAAATGCCTTCCTGGCCCAGGTGCAGTGTTAATTGTTCCATTTCTCTTAATAAATCTTTGCTTGGAGAAAAATGTTTGTATCTCTGAGATATTGATTCTAATCCCTATTTCCTTTTCTTTGTTTGTTTCTCTTCCCAGGAAAAAGTAGAATATGCCTTCCTGATTATTTTTACAGTCGAGACCTTTTTGAAGATTATAGCATATGGATTATTGCTACATCCTAATGCTTATGTTAGAAATGGATGGAATTTACTGGATTTTGTTATAGTAATAGTAGGGTAAGTCCTTTTTATTTTAGGAAAATGTTTGTTTGGAAAATGGGAGATGGGGAGTAACAGGAAACACAGTCTTTTGAGGGAATATGGTTGCTCCTTGATGCCAGTCATTGTGGCCAGAACCTGTCGGGAGTTCTTTGAGGACTGGCCATGCTGCTCTCAATCTCTGGGCAGAAACTGGTTTGACATTCTCTTATTGTTTTTACTTGCCTTTCAGTAACGTGTTAGAGATGGAAGTTTAAGCTTCTGATGTGAGAGGGTTCATCTTAGAAGGCCTTGGGTCTTCATAGATAGGCCAGCCCTGCTGGTGATTAGAGTCAAATGAGTAGAACTCTTATACTTATCACTCTGTTAAGTTAAAAAAAAAAACACTAAAAAGTAGTAAATCCTTCGTAGCTGTGAGATACTCTGCTATTTAACATCCCTTGAGCAAAGCTATTAATTTTTTCTGCTGACTTGTGGGAAAAACTTTGGCATGCTACTACCCAATTTTAAATAAGAAAACAAGTGTCTGAATAATGTCAGATATCTGGCATGAAGTGAAATAAGCCAGAAAACTCTCAAAATCCTGTCACAGGAAGAAGGCACCAATAGTTTCAGTTAAAGGAGAATGTTAAAATAAAAAACAGTGGCCTGTGTTATTCTGGTCCTTCTACACCTGAAAATGTTGCCAGCAAGAGAAAAATGAATCAGTGTCAGAGGAATGCTGGGTCTTTGGATCAAATACCCACATAGGAAAATAAGATGTATCCTTTCACTAAGTCTTCATTACCCAGCTGTAAAATGGGTTGCTCCTAAAATTATATTTGGTCCTATAGAGAGAGATTGTTAAATGACCTCTCTTGTTTTCATCTCCATGACTTTATTCCACTGCCTTTTGCAGTTGAGCAAGGTAATTTTTCTTTTGGATTATTCTTTTATCATGAATCCTTTGGCTTTTCATGGGCGACTAATACAGCTGGATTTTGGGAGAGTGGGATAAACTTTGAACCTGTCTTTTCAAACCTAGGAAGTTAAAACAGGATCCAAACTGGTGGCCCAGTGGGATGATTAGACTTATAGGGGAAAAAAGTTAGCTTTTGCAAAAGCCACCATAGTACATTGACATTTGAGGTATTACTACAAAGGTAGTAGAGCTAAAATGAACAGGGGGTAGATATGTGCCATACTTTCCTATCTTTGGTGAACTCTAACAAGGAATGGCAAGCAGGAGCCTTGTAGTTCTCTCGGTTCTGGAACAATCTTGCTGTGCCTCTCCTGACCCTGGACTTTCTGTTCAGCTAAAGGATGGAGATGCTTAGCTCCATTTCTTTGGTCCCTACCCTACAGTCAGCTCGCCTTTCTGCCTGGAGACATTTTTCAGACTATAGTACAGCACAAAGGCAGGGAACAAACAGAGTTTGGTGGCTTCATTGAGTTGAGACAGAAACAAGAGTTCAGGGAGCCTCAGGTGGCTGAAATTTGAGAGGCAGAGTATGAGAGGGGAGGGAGCTATGCATAGAGCTCCATAAATATGCCTTGGAGTCCTTTGACTGAAGACTAAGCTACAGTTACATGGGGTGAGATTCCATGAGGCCAGGCAAAGAACACTATTAGGGGAAAAAAGAAAAGTTGGGGGCTGTAAACTAAACAATAACCAGTGCTCACAGAAGTCTGGAATGTTTTCAAGTTCTGACCAACCAGAGTGGAAAGATGTCATTGAACAACACTGGACTGTCAAGGGAGACCCCAGGAGGCCATTAATAGTGAGGATAAACTAACTCTAGGGCAGGGGATGGCATACCATGGCCAATGGGCCAAATCCAGCCTGCTACCAATTTTTGTAAATAAAGTTTTATTGCAACACAGTCACATGTTTGTTTACATAGTTGAGTTGAGTAGTTTAGGTCGACAAAGCCTAAAATATTTGGTATCTGGCCCTTTACAAAAAATTTTGCCAACTCCTGCTCTAGAGTAAAGACTACCTGCAACCCTTGTTAATAATGTTTGAAAAGGAGCCTAAAAAGGAGCAAACTTGTATGCAAGTAACTTAACTACCTGCTAAAACAAAACTCAATACTCTTTAAAGGAAGACAACAAAATCCAGACATTTATCAGTGTCCCACATCCAGTCAGACATCACTAGACATATGAGGAAAAGTGACCTATAACCAGGAGGAAATTCCATCAATAGAAAGAGACCTATAAATGACAGAGATGATAGAATTAGTAGAGAATTACTTTACAAGACTTTCAAAACATCCATTATAAATATGTTTATGGACTTAAAGGAATGCATGACTACAGTGAGGAAAGATGGGACAATATAAAAAATAAATACCAGATGGTACTTCAAGAGCTGAAAAATATATCTAAAATAAAAAATTCTCTGGATTGGTTTAACAGCAGATTAGACACAATCGAAGAAAAAAATAAAAGAACTTGAAGACATAGCAATAACACAAAAAATAATGTTGGAGAAAAAAGTGAACACCACCTCAGTGACCTGTGGGGCTATATCGAGTGATCTAACATACATATATTTGGAGGTCAGAAGAGAGAAGGTAGAGAGGAGACAGAAAAAAAATATTTGAAGAAATTATTCCAAATTTTCTAAATGTTATGAAAAATATAAACTCACAAATCCGAGAATCTCAACAAAGCCCAAGAAGAAAGCTACATCAAGGTACATCATAACCATAATCAAATTGCTCAGAACCTAAGATACAAAGAGAAAATCTTAAAAGTTCTCAGAGAAAAAGACATTAAAGGCTTCTTGTCAGCAACTGTGCAAGCCAGAAGACACTGGAAACATCTTTAAAGTGCTAGGGAAAAATGTCAACCAAGAATTCTTATTCAGTGAAGACATCTTCCAAAATTAAAGTAAAAACCAACTTTTTCAGACAAAGTAAAGCTGAGAATTTATCACCAGTATACATGCACCTCAACAAAAGATAAAGGAATGTCTTCATACTGAAGGAAAATGACACCAGATAGAAATGTGGATCTACAGAAAAGGAATGAAGAATGCCAGAAAGGGTAAATGCACGGGTAAATATAAAAACATTTTTTTATCACATTTAAATCTCTCTAAAAGCAATTGATTATTTAAAGCCAAAAAAAAAAAAAAAAAAAAAACCAAAACAACAATGTATTGTAGAGTTTATAGCATCTATAAAAGTAAAATATATGGCAACAATAGCACAAAGGACAGGAACAAGGAAACAGCCATATGCTGTTGCAAAGTGCTTGTACAGTAGGTGGAGTGATAAAATATTATTTGAAGGTATATATGATAAGTTAAAGATGTATACTGTAAACCCTGGAGCACAGGCTTGCAAACTTCAGACCATAGACCAAATCTGGTTTACTGCCTTTCCCCGCCCCCCACTTCCCCCCGCCACATTGACAAAGTATTTTATTATCTCCTTTGATAGATAAAATTTTGTTGGAAGACGGTCACACTCCCTCATGTCTGTGAGTATTTGGTGTTAGGCTGGTGAAGTTGAGTAGTTGTGACAGAGACTCTATGGCCTGCAAATCCTAAAATAGTTACTATCTGGCACTTTACAGAAAATTTTTGCTGACATTTACCCTACAGGAGCTGTTAGAAAAATAAATAAGTATAGTGAATAAGCGTATATTGGAGATTAAATGGAATTTTTTTAAAAAGCTCAATTCAAAAAATCAGGGAAGAGGAACAAAGGAACAAGGGATGGAGCAAATAGAAAAGAAATAGTAAGGTGGTAGATTTAAGCCCAGCTAAGCCTTTATTAAAATCCAGAGTTTATCAGGTTTATATGTTAAAAAAAAAAAAAAAACAAAAAAAAAAAACCAAGTCCCAACTCCACGGTGTCTATAGGAAACCTACTTTAAATCTAAAGACACAAAAAAATTGGAAGTAAAAAGACAGAAAAATACATACCATGCAAAAACTAATCAAAGCTAACGTAGCTATATTAACATCCAACAAACTAGACTTTAGAACAAGGAATTTTATTGAAGATAGACATTTCATAATGATAAAGGAATCATATAATCAAGAGGATATAATAATCCCAAATATGTATATACCTAATAACAGAGCTTCGAAATACACAAAGCAAAAACTGATAAAACTGAAAGGAAGGATAGACAAATCTACAGTTGTAGAGGTGCATTTTAATACTCCTTTCTTGAGGAGTGTTGATTCACTATCTAGACAGAAAATCACTAAGGATGTAGGGAGATTTGGACAGTACCATCAACCAACTTCACTTAATTGATATTTTTAGAACACTTCACTCAACAAGAGCAGAATAAACATTCTTTTTGCTGCACATGGAACATACACCAAGAGAGAGAGATTCTGAGCCATAAAACAGGTTTCAGTGAATTTAAAAAGATTAAAACCATACACAATTATGTTTTCTGAATGAATTTAGTAATGTTTCTGGATAAAATGTTAGTATAAAACGTGAATTCCTATATAATAGTCATAAACAATTGGAAAATGAAATTTTAAAGTCATTACTATTTACTATAGCATTAAAAAACATGAACTATTTAGGGATAAATAGTGCACTGACAATGACTAAACCTTAGTGAAAAAAATTAAAGGAGGCCCAAATAATGGAATTATGTACCATGTTCATGGATTGGAAGACTCAATGTTGTTAGGATATCAGTTTTTCCCAAATTGAGCTATAGATTGAATCCTAATCTTCATCCAAGCAAGATTGTTGTAGAGATTGACAAATTTATTTGAAAATTCATGTGGAAATTAGGGAGGCTCTAGACTAGCCAAAGAAACCTTTAAGAACAAAGGTGGAACCTAGTTTTAAGGCTTACTGTAAAGCTACAGTAGTCAAGACAGTGTGATATTGGCATAAGGAGTAGACATAAAGATCAATGGAAAAGAAGAGGGAGTCTAGAAATAGACTCATGTGTATGCTCAATTGATTTTAGAAAAAGGTGCCTTGATAATTCAGTGGGTTGAGGAAACTTTCAACAAATGGTGCTGGAACAACTGTTTATTCATATGAAAAAAAGAAGAACCTGTATTCTTACCTCATCTGTACACAAATATTACCTTAAAATGAATCATAGACCTATAGTAAAAGATAAAACTAAAATTTTTAGGAGAAAGACTTTATGACGTTGGGGTAGGCAGAAATTTCTTAGGACACAAAAAACACTAGCCATAAAAGAAATAATTGAAATTTTGGACCTTATCAAAATTTAAAACTTTTCTTCAAGAGACAGTGTGAAGAAAATGAAAAAGTAAAGCATGGATTGGGAAAAAATATTCATGATACACATATATGACAAAGGACTTGTAGTCGGAATATTTCAAGAACTGTTAGAACTCAACAGTGAGAAGACAACCCAGTATATAAATGGGTGAAAGATTTGAACCGATCTTCACAAAGAAGATATGTAAATGATCAACAAGCACCTACAAAGATGTTCAACATCATTAATAATTATGGAAATGCAAATTAAAGCCACAATGACAGCACTACATACCCACTAGTATTACTAAATGTAAAAAGACATGGACCAACTGGAACTCTCATACACTGCTTGTAGAAATGGAAAATGGTCCCATCACTTTGGAGAAGTTTGCTAGTTTCTGACAATGTTCATCACACACTGACCATATGCCCATATTACCAGTAGTACTCTTAGGTACTTATTCAAGATAGGTGAAAGCACATGTTCACAAAGAGACTTTATTCATCATAGAAAAAAACTGGAAACAACCCAAATATCACTCAACAGGTAACTGGATAAACTTGTTGTGGTATATTCAGACAGTGGAATATCACTCAACAATAAAAAGAAATGAACTGCTGATAAATGCAACAACTTGGATGAATCTCAAAAACATGGTGAGCAAAAGAAGATAAACAATAAGGAGAACAAGCTGTGTGATTCCATTTATGTAAGATTCTGTAAAAGGAAAAGACAACCCAAGTGATAAACAGCCAATCAGTGGATACCCAAGGCTGAGTTTAAAAGGAAGATGACTGCAAAGGCGCACGGGAGAGCTGTTGGAGATACGGGGAATGTTCTGTATCTCGATGGTGGTGTTTATTGCTTGGGCTTATACTTTTGTCAAAACTCATCTCATTGTACACTTTAAATGGGTTTATTTTATTATATCTAAGTTAAGCTGCAATAAAGTTGACTTAAAAAGTAAAAAAAGTCATCTAGGAAACTAAAGATTGTTTTTTTCTCAAATATGAAAAACCTGAGAATGTCAAATTGTTCTTGAAAATAGGCACTGAATTGTAGTCAAAGAGTGGAAGAAAAGTTTAAAAAAGAAAAAGAATTATGTCTTCATTTGAATCAAATTCCTACTCAGGTTTCCAACTGCAGACTGTATCTCCATCCAATGGATTTTCCATTCCAAGTCAACCATGACCTGTTGCTTTTGTCAAGATTCCCAATAACAGAGACATTAAGAAAGTAATCGATATTGCTGAGATGCTAACTGCTAATAATGTGACCACAGGAGGACTCAATGTGTCTCCCAGAGCTGATATTATTCTCTGTGTAGAAGAGTTTGATCTGAGCCAACTTCTATCCCGCCCTTCTTATTTTTCAATAAGTGTATTTCAAGCATTCAGGCTCGTCACTTAAACTTTTGTGAAGAAGAAGATGGAGTGCTCATTCTGGTGCTTCTAACTTTTGTCACTTTAGGTAGCTCCTTGCCTTTTTTCTCCTGTCTTGGGATAAACTTATAATAACAATCTAGGATCGAATACTCGCTCCTCACGTCCTCATCTCTTCAGGCACATGGTACCTTTGTTGGGTTGTGGGGGCGGTGAAGAGAGTAGAATCACAAAATATTAGAATAGGAAGAGCAGGGCTTTGCGTCATTTAATCCAGTTTTCTCATTTTACAGAGGGGGAAACTGAGGCCAGGGAAGGAGAGGGACTTTCCTAATGCCTCCTCACTCTTAGGAGTGGAAGGCAGCCCTGGCCCCTTAGGCTCGCTGGCTGTCTAGAAATGGCAGCCGGCTTCCCTCTCTGACTCAGGCTCCTCTGTAACTGCAGAGAAACATTATTCACCTGTTTTCAAGGGCATTGCTGAAGAACGGGGGATAAAAGGACCATGAAGTGTACATTGCAAAACACTGATACTTGAAAGCAATCTTAAGTCATCACCTGCATAAATTACTTTCCTAACCCTTTGGGATGAAAATTCCTGTGGCTGCCACATTTCAGAAGAGTTTGAGGTTTTCTTTCTTGCCTTTTCTTTGTTTTTGTGAAGCTATGAATTTGTGAAGCCATGACTTTTATCTTTAGCCTTCTCTGCAGGGGTTCACAGTAATTAGAAAACTATGCTAATGATAGAAATCTGTCATAAATTTGATATATTTCCCCAGTCATAACTAGAGAGAGTCACCATTTGAAGCTTTGAAAAGGTAGAGACCTGATTTATTTCCCCCTGCCTTCTCCCCAACCCCAGGTTCATTGGGGTGCTGTACTGTTATTAAAACAAATGCCTGGTATTTAAGTGCCCCAGAATGACATGGCTGCCTGATCAGGACTGCAATCAGACCACCCTGGGTTTTGTGGACTTTGTGTCTTGGCGATCCACAGGCATGCCAGTGGGGGCAGAGTTTCTGCTTTGCCTGCTAATTAAACTTTAGAAATCTTTTCTTTGTTGCTGGGCCAGTCATTCCCACAATCTGATGGGCCAGAGTTGATTCTATTTGAAATGGGCAAATTTATATTTATTCTGAAAAACAAGCAACAATTCCAAAGAATAAATGTTTATTTGAAAGAGCACAAGTAACTGTCAAATGAGCAGATTGCCTGAAAATAGCTTTATCCGAAAAACCTTCTGAGAGTAGGAAAAAATTTGTCGTGGATGCCAGATACAATATTATTCACATTTCAAAAGAGAACATGACGGTATTAATACCTTTCCTTAGGTTACTGCTTTTGGGCTTTGCACAGCTCCTTAGCATCTGTGACTTACATCATTCCCTGAACGTCCCTATGGGGATTTGGGCGGGTGGAGGAGGTCAGGGGGTGTGTGTATGAGATTGTCTTGGAAGTAGTATAACATATTGATTAACAGTTGGGACTTTGAAGTCAATATTCATTCATTGATTTATTCATCAAATGTTTTTTGAGCACCTCCTATATGTCAGGAACTGTTCTAGGCACTAGGCTAGAACAGACTAAATGAACAAATGAACAAACACTGAAATTCTATGCCCTTGTGGACCCTACATTCTAGTGGGTCAACATACCTGGATTCATATATTAGTTCTGCCACTATTTGTGTGACCTTAGGCAAGTTACTTGTTCTTATCGAGTTTATTTCCTCACATAAAATGGTGTTCATAATACTTCCTACTACATAACGTTTTGTGAGGATGAATGAGATAATGTACATGAAGTGCTGAGCATATAGTGAGCACTCATAAATGGTACCCGCTATGATTATTGCTGTTATTTCTGTTTGAGCAATCCTGCTTGTCACTGTTAGGTCCCCGGCGAGTCCCGTCTTCCATGAGGGCTGACTTGCTCAAGGATGCTCCATTGGCAGGAAAACAAATGAGATCAATCCCTGTCCCCAATCCTTCTGGATGCAGGGGGGTCACATTCAGGATTCACAGCCCAGTTCTTGCCTTTGCCTTGCTTTCCCTTTATTTAAGTAGCAGTCATACAGAATTAGCCCTCGTTCAAAAATAACTACTGTTATCATCCTGTTTCACTTCCCTGGGTGACAGACTCTAACATTTCTTTCTCTCGTCTTCTTTCAGATTGTTTAGTGTAATTTTGGAACAATTAACCAAAGAAACAGAAGGCGGTAACCACTCCAGTGGCAAATCAGGAGGCTTTGATGTCAAAGCCCTCCGCGCCTTTCGAGTGTTACGACCACTTCGACTAGTATCAGGAGTGCCCAGTAAGCACGTTTTGTTTCCTCAAGCCAGGAGTTTGTTGATTCTTTTCTTCTGGGTGGGTGTCGGGATTACGGAACAGAGTGCTGCGAGGTGAGTTGCTGTGAACCAGCCAGGGGCTGCGCAGACCACCGTGGAGGCCTCGCGGTTTACAAAACACGTTGGCCTGCGTTGTCATCCTGGATCCCTGTGATGGCCCCGAGAGGGGCTGCTAGTGATTATTGCCTTCTTCCTGATTTTGTGCAAGAGAGAATCTTCTCTTAGGGAGAGACGGAGTAAGTGCTGGTGTGAGACCTGGAGTTCAGGCTTCCTGATTCCACTCTGGTTTTCCTTCTACGACACCACACTGCTGTCACCTCCTCCCCCTCCCAGGCCTGCCCCTCTCAAGGTGGTGGGTTATGTAGATGAGGGCGTTGGCTGACTGCCTTTCTTTCAAAGTCAGGAGCAACAGGGGTCTGGACTCCTGAAACTCTGCTTAGCTCCCCACTGCTAGGAATTGTGTCCGTCCCAGTCTGAGGGAAGAAGTGAATGTGCCACGTCCTCCCTGTATGTAGGGCACGGTAGTACCTGCTTGAAGGTTGTCGTGAGAACTGAATGCGACAATGCGGGCAGAGCCCCCAGCACAAGGTCTGGAGCCCAGAGGAGGCCCTCAGTGGTGAGGGACGCCGTTCTCATGCACTAGGCTGTGATACCTGTCTGTGCCAGGCCGTGGTTTGCTTCTTAGTCCACACCTCTGGGCCAGGTTGAGTGCCACCTGAGGTGGAACAGATGCCCTGTCTGTGCCCTGGCCAGGAGCTGCGGGCCTCTTACCCTTCCATAAGGAGCATGAGGGCTGCTTCGCTGGGCTCTGCCCCTAAGGGACACCGTGTCCCTGTTGAGGCGTCAGGGGCTGGAATTCCTAGCGCCTTTCCCAGGACCGTGGCTGTGAGGTGGCTGCCTGCTCACAGCTGGAGGAAGGATATGGGACTGCAGGGTGTGCCTGTTTTTTACAACTCGTAAAGCCATCAGAAGAGCACAGATCATGTTTTTGTTTCCCCAGAAGTTCTTCATGAAATTTTATTAAACCTGTTGGCGTTCAGAACGTACTAAAAATTCTCTGGAAAAAAAAACCAAAACAAAACAAACGACTTCCAAATTTAACATTTTAAAATGTAGGAAGTGGTGTTTTATGTGTGCTTGTTTTTCCAGATGGTTCATTTATTTTCATTGAAAAAGATCAGCACAAGTCAAAACCACAGAACTGTCTGGAAGCAATTGAGAAAAATAGAAATACCTTGGAAATGACTGGCGCTGTTACGTGTAACGTGATTAAATGAGAAGTTTAGTGAGCAAACATGTTCTTTCAGATTTGGTTGTTGCAGCTTAATCTAATTTCAAAGTAACCACGACTACTTTTTTCTCCCAAAGAGCAAATGACAAGACAGCCTGCCTGCAGTGTGTGCTGCAGCTTCATGCATGTGAGTCTCAGGCTGGTGAAAACTCTTGGAACTTGCTTAGCATTGTTTTGGTTCCCTTGCCTAATGAGGTTTTTACCAAGTGACTAGTCCATTGCTCCTGGATACTCTTGAGAACCAGTTTTAGGTTTTTTGTTTTTGTTTTTTTTTGGTGAGGAAGATTGGCCCTGAGCTAACACCTGTGCCAGTCTTCCTTTGTTTTGTAAGCGGGATGCTACCACAGCATGGCTTGCTGAGTGGTGTGTAGATCTGTACCTGGGATCCGACCCTGTGAATCCCAGGCTGCTGAAGTGGAGTGCATGAACTTAACCATCATGCCACCAGGCCAACCCCAAGGACCAGTTTTAAACTATATTTCTTCCTTTCCCCAAAAAACATTGTTTGAAGCTTGGTAGGCATCTGCATCATGCTCTCAGAGGTCAGCAGAGGGAAATGGGGATCTGAGTCTTGTGTGAGGGTTTCTTAGCCCGTATTTGAACGCCCTGATGGGGAATATCCATGTCTCTCATCAGACCCCCTGTGCTTCTGGGGAGAGGTGGTGGATGCTCTGGGTCATGCTATTTCCAGTGCTCGTTGGCAACTGTGGCCTCGTGATTTCTTTTTAAGTACCTGAAATTGTTAAAAAATGCCTGGGAAAGTTAGTTTACACTTCTCTGGGAATTGTTTAGTCCTTTCTAAAGAGAATTCAGACTGTCCTGCAAGACAGGATTTTGTATGTGTGTGAATACATACTTATTCAGTGGAAGGTAAATAAATATTTCAAAAGATAGTAGTTCAGACCTTTGTGGAGTTCTTGACCCCCGCACTCAGCTGCTCAGGGTGTATCACAGTCCTAGACTGGCAAAGTGCGAGAGAACCCTAGAGTTCATCCATCCATGTGCACCATCTTTTCGATGAGGAAGCTGAGGCCTGACCAGAGGTAGTGCCATGTGCAGGTTCTCACAGCTAGTGGAGGCCAAACTGGGCCAGCCCCACGGGCTCCTCCTCCCTGGCCCGCTGTTCTGTCCACTCCCTCCCACTGCCTCCTTGGTCAGAGTCCTGGGGGATCTGCTGTACACATCACTAGTGTACAAAGGACCCTTATGTCATGAAGGTGTACACCTTCACATTAAGGTTCAGCTTCATTAACTCATAAATTTGGCCAATCTGAAATACAATACTTACAATAAACATAAACATCTTCATAAGACACATGGCTCACTGCCCTAGAATTTAGAAGAGCTACCTACTGGATGATAATTTTGGATGGCCCATCTAGGTCTAAAAAAATGAAAAAGAAAAACCCGAAAACCCTGTCCAAGTAGATTAGAGCAAATGCTTCTTTTCCCCTCCGTCTGTTCCTTATAGAAGGCAAAAACAATGAAAGTCATCCTATTGATCATTCTTTTCCTGAAGAAACCGTTTGAACATTTAAGTATCTGAAGGCAGTCCCTAGGATTTCTGTTGTAATGATGTCTTGGAAAGTTGGGCTCTTTTGTGAATCTGAGATCCTCCTCTTAGTCTTCCCTCCCATCCTGTCCCTTGCCTCCTCCTGTGTACATCTTACCAGGGTGAGCTTTTATTGTTATTGCTGATAAGTATTCTGCCCTTTGGTTGGTGTGTTCTAACTTATTTAATTCTAGCATCTCATATTCTTCCATTCTTTGTCTATGTATCAGGGAAGTGAGAAGATACTAGAAAAAGGCAGTTGGAAGGAAGGAGAGTCAGTAGGGAGGAGAAGGAAAAAAAGGGAAAAGAGTGAAGTGTGTGGAGCAGAAGCGTGGTCCTGGGTGGTAGAAAGAACACAAGAGGCAGGAGGCCTGGTTTACACCAATCACTCTCCCTCAGCCTCCTGCTTCCTCCCACCTAATCCTTGTCCTGAGTGTTGGCCCACCATCCCTCTTTGCGTTCTCTTTCCTCTTCCTATCCCATGGGTCTGAGTGTTACTCTGACCAGCTTCCAGTGTGTTATGTCCCTCCGTCATGTCTCAAGCCCACGTTGCAGCTGCAGGACTCCTCCCTCCTTTCTTCACGTTATGCAGGGATCAAACTGACCAGGTCTGAAGGTGCTCTCACCCCTCTCCTTCCTCTGCCCCTCTGCTCCCCTCATTCCAGGAGAGCCTCCTTTTGACATGCTTGGTTTTTTCATTCACTGGGATTTTCCCCATGATGCTGCCTCCATGGGCACCTCCCTCTCCCTCAAACTCAGTTGTGGAGTTCTGATCTCATCCTGATCCTCGCCTTGTCCTACCTGGAGAGCCCAGTGCTCTCCAACCACTTCTCCACCGGCTTGTCTGCTGCTGACCTGTTCCTCTTTCATGGCTAATCCATTAAAGTCCAGCCCTGTACCCAGAATTCAAAACCCAGGGCTATCTAGTTGCAATCTACTTTTCTTTCCTTATACTCTTTTCCGCTGTGTGACCACCAACCAAGGCTCCCTGCCCCCAGCCCACATTGTATGGCTCACTTCTGTGCCATTGGTGGTCTCTTCCCTCTGCCTGGAGTAGCCTCTCTCGCATGCCTACCTGGGGAAATACCTCTTCTCAGCCTTCAGACCCTCCCGAGTGGGGAGCTGCTGCCCAGTCCTCTTTCCTCTCCCCGCTCACAGGTGATGTCTTTCATTCTTCTTTAATTTTAGCTGTTTGGCATTACTTGTATAGCATCTCAGTGCTGCCTTAGAGTAATTTGTGTTTAATCCTTATGTCTCCTTCTAGAACACAACCTCTTTGAGAGAAAGTACTTTTTGTAATATGTATTCATATCCCTCAAAGCACTACATTGTAGGCTTTCCACGTGGTAGATGTTCAGAAGTTTGTGGAATGGGTGAACAAGTGCAGAGATGAATGACTGAGATTCGGCACTCACCTCTCCAGGCCCTAGTTTTTCCATCTGTCAAGTGAGAGTTGGATTAGGTGATCTTTCAGGTTCCTTTTTAACCCATCTCACATCCCGGTTGAATGTTAATTAAAAGGTTTGAAATATCTCTTTGGGTTTTATTACTACGTGTCACATATAGAGTGGACAGCATTAGGAATTTTATATACACATCGTTGACATGTTTTCCTGGCTCACACCCTGCTTTTTCTCTCTCCTAGGTTTACAAGTTGTCCTGAACTCCATTATAAAAGCCATGGTCCCCCTCCTTCACATCGCCCTTTTGGTATTATTCGTAATCATAATCTATGCTATTATAGGATTGGAACTTTTTATTGGAAAAATGCACAAAACATGTTTTTTTGCTGACTCAGGTGAGTAATGAAAATGATAGCTAGCCTAACTCTGAAAAAAATTTGGTTCTCCAAAAAAAAAAAAAAATTCTGTGGTTTTTGGGAAAATCTAAAACAAAATGAGAGGGGGAAAAAAAGGCAGCCAAAAATACCAGTAAATCTACTGAGCCAGTTCTTAGTGAGAATTCTGTAAAGAATAAGTGAGAATTTGATCTCCTTTTCTATCCTGATTTCCCATGTAATGTGTCCTGGCAAAGAAGATAAGGGCCCCCAAAACTAGAACGTGAGGCAAATCAATAGCGTTGTTCTGTATAGGGTTAGGAGAGGTGCTGCACGAGTGAGGACAGAGGAGAGGGCATTGGGTTCTGAGTAGAGGACATGGCAGAGTCCATGGAGGAGGGAGTATTGGAAATGAACCCTGAAGGACAAATAGGATTCCAAGAAAGCATAGATGGGAAGTAGGGTGTTCAGGCCCTGGCAAGGGTACTCAGCTTCCGCTCGCTTGGGTTTGCTGGTGTTCCTCCCTTGAGTGGTGAAGCCTTCTTGATGTCTTTGCAGATGTCGTAGCTGAAGAGGACCCAGCGCCATGTGCGTTCTCAGGGAATGGACGCCAGTGTACCGCCAATGGCACAGAGTGTAGAAGTGGCTGGGTTGGCCCAAATGGAGGCATCACCAACTTTGATAACTTTGCCTTTGCGATGCTCACTGTGTTTCAGTGCATCACCATGGAGGGCTGGACAGATGTGCTCTACTGGGTAAGCCACTTGCAGAGCGAGTTTATGGAATGTTCTTTCCTTGGATAAAAGTGTTTCTTTAGCTAGAGCCATTGGAGAGTTGGCTGAAAGAGAAACCCTGGAAGTCAGTTCTTTGGGAAGGGAAGCAGACCGTCTCTTCACTCAGCGAGACTCATCATCTTTCCCCTGCAGGGCCTTAGTTTCACTTGTAGGAAGCTGCTGTATAATGTTGGCTTCCTCCAGTCTGTAGTGCTGCCTGGGGAATTGTGGCCTAAATGTGCCCAGTTAGTCCCTCTTTTGGAGGAACTCCAGAAAGCTGGGGCTGTCCCGATTAAACTCTTAGAGAACCAGGGGTCATATCCCAGGTTAAGAGGCTCCTGGACTTTCATGGGCTAAAACTGATCTTTCATACATAAAGGCAGGTTGCTCTACTAGATCCCGAATGGAAGATAGGGAAAGTAAATTAGATCCTTTGGATACTTTCCGTAACTTAGTACAGCCTTAAAGCCAAAAGGGGTTTTCTCCCTATGACAGTATATCTCTTTTGTATCTTCAGTGTTCCTGTAAATCAACTCAGCACAAGCCCCTAGCTCTCCCTTTCTCTTTGGAGCTATAGAACTTGGGCAGAGAGGGTAACAATGGCACGTCAAGCTTCCAGGGCTGGTGGACCAATCCAACCTGCCGTGAAAACAGGTGGATACCCTTTCGATGGCTAAGATCTGTTTCTTCTTGTTCCTGACAGAGCCAGAAGGGTTTGCTATAAATGAAGAGCAATAGTATTGTAGCAGCCCTTTCTCAGAGCTGAGTTTATTTGCTTATTTGTCTGGTAGAATTTGAAAAAGCTCACAGAAGTTTAGAAATTACTTTCCATGGGAAATTATTTTCCCGTGCTGGGAAAAACACCTGACATGCACAGTTTGAGCCTACCCCCAAGTCCAAATGGGATTAGCCAGGATTTCAATAATTATTTGTTAAAAGGCAATTAGTAATAAAATACTAATGGGCACCATCTAGTTAGAAGGCCTGCAGAAGTAGCTTCTGACAGTAGCTAAATTTTAGCAACTTTATAGGATTTCATATTACTCTCTAACTTCAGAGACCATAGCATTTCATGGTTATAAATAGGTATTTGCTTCCCTTCACCAGCGAACACCATACTTACAGGATTGTAGAAGTCCCTATATATTCAATATTAGGCAAAGAAAGTATGTTTTATTTTCATCCCCAAAGTGTGAGTCTAGTTTGGTAATGAAGTTTAAGCATCACCAATGTGTTCTATCTTGTTTCTCCCTGTCCCCCTCCTTTTTCTTATTGTCATAGGAGAGTGTGTGTGTGTGTCTGTGTGGGTATGCACATCTGTTGTTTATATCCATAAGACAGTGCCTTTCTTGAAGAGGAAGAAGGAGGGAGATTGTACTGGATGAGCCAGGACCATAGCCGTGCAAGGAAACCCTCAATTAGGTAAAGGGTTCGTTTTCACTATTATCTTCTAAGTAGTGACTCCTAGTCATCTTAGTGGAGGTCTCAATCCCAGTGGTCCCTTGAAGTTTCTGATAAATAGAAAAAGCATCATCCAGAAAGCCCAGACTCGGATCCTTCCCCTTAAAACAGTACAGAAAACATTTCAATTTAAAAAAAAAAAAATCGGTGACTTCTCTCAGCTCTGTTCTCTCTAGTGTCATGGTGAATTGTCCACTGCTGATCCAACCTGCCTTGACTAATGGGCAATTTTATACTTTATGTTATGATTCTTTCATGACAATTTTCCTATTGTCAAGCAAGTGAAAACTCTGGGAGTATGCGATTAAAGGAGAGAAAACTGTGCACCCAGAAACAAAAGTTTCCTGAGAACCTTTAAGTGTCACCTAGGAGCATATAATTATTGTCTCTATTGTTAATATGACAATCACAGAGTTAATAATTTGACAATACAATAATTATATTCTCTATGAATTACATGGCATTTTATTCTGATGGAGGAACTCAAGTAGTTTATCAACATTATCCCAGTCTGTATCCCTTTATGGAAGGCCTGGGAAACAGTGGAATATAGAGAGACCATTGAACATCCCCAGGATCCTCCAGCAAGTGGTTGTGGTCCTTAATCTAGAACAGGGGTCTACAGACATCTTCTTTTTGGCGGAAGATTAGCCCTGACCTAACATCTGCTGCCAATTCTCTTTTTGCTGAGGAAGACTGGCCCTGAGCTAACATCCATGCCCATCTTCCTTTACTTTATATGTGGGAGGCCTGCCACAGCATGGCTTGCCAAGTGGTGTGTAGGTCTGCACCTGGGATCCAAACCGGTGAACCCCCAGCCTCCAGAGTGGAACATGCGAACTTAACTGCTGTGCCATTGGGCTGGCCCCTACAAACTTTTTTTAAAGGGGCTAGATAGTAAATATATTTGGACTTGCAGACCATATTGTGTCTGTCACAACTATTCACTTCTGCCCTCTGCCCATATTACTCGGAAGCGGCTATAGACAGCATGTAAACAAGTGGGTGTGGCTCTGTTCAATAAAACTTTATGGACACTGAAATTTGAATTTTATGTAATATTCATGTGTCATGAAATATTCTTTTGATTTTTTTTCAACCATTTGAAAACATGAAAGATATTTTTAGTCCAAGGGCCATACAAAAGGAGGTAGAAGGTTGGGTTTGGCCCACAGGTCATAGTTTGGTGACCCCTGGTCTAGACTAGAACTCAGCACTCTTTCCTTGGCATTCTTTCATTATCAGAGGTTTGTGAATCCTTCTAGAACACTAGGGGGCAGCTAAGTAATGTCTTCAAGAGTGTCCTTGAAGATCTTAGTTTCTGAAACACATCAGGTTGTTTTTAATTACATGTTGATTACATTTATTCATCATATAGGGTGACAGGAGCCAGGGCACCAAGCCTTCTTAATATGTTATGGGCCACGGTCAGGTGGAAGCCACACGGCTGTGATCCAGAGTAGACCATCCTGCCCAGCACGTTGCCTGGCACAGCAGGTGCTCAACAGACACTAGTTACTCTTACACTTCAGTGTACAATCCCATTGCCTCAGTGTAGATGGGCCATGTTTCTCTATCAGTTTTTATCTATAACTAGCGTATAAAGGGAACTTCTTGAGAGAGAACTAAGGAAAGTAGATTTTAAATATTGATTGCAAGCAAATTTCTCAATCCTGTAGGTGTTTGTATATGGTGGATAAAGTCTTTCCCAGGGATTGTTCTGCATCTTGTCAAGTTTATATTCAGTCAGGGTTGTCAAGAGTGTCTGGCAAATGGCTGGCAGGGTCTTGAGAACAGAAGTACCGCTGGACCCAATATGCAGAAAGACACACTTAGAACCATTTGGATGTGTGGAGAGTTGGGAATATTAACTTCCCATGGAAAAAAATTATGGTAGAGCTCTTTCCTAAAGTGAGTTCCATAAACATAATTAAGCTGCCATCGGACCCACGCATGTTTGGTGTCTACAGAGGCGGTAGGGTGTAGCATAGGGAAAGAGCATTGAGGCTGGATAGGGCTGGCTATGTGACCTTGGGTAGGTCACCAAAACTCTCTGGGTTTTAATTTTCTTGTCTACAAGATGCAGAATTAAACTACATGATCAGATTGTTTTTCAACTCAGAATTTTTTAAATGTAGGAAATGAATTAAAGTAGTGTTGATTTCAGGAGAGGGCCACCCACGTAAATCATTTTTGGCCTCTGGCCTTAGCGCTAAGCTCTTTCCTCAGTGAACATACCCATGGAGGTGCTGGCTGTCAGACTCTAATAGGAAGTTCTCATGGTCAGGCTGACAATCTACTTCTTTCAAGGTACCTGGGAAATTCCTCTTTTATTAGTCAGCCAAGGGCTTGCCTTTCTTCACCTTTCTCTTATTCCATGCTTAGGGGAGCTACAACCAATATACCAAGTTTCCAGTAGTGTTTTCAACAGTTAGAAAAAACAACTTTAATTGGAGACCTGAATGGCATTTCAGCCTTTGAAATGAGGGAAAACTGAAATTAAATAGAATGTTATTTCCTGGGTACCAGGTGACACCACATGATAACTTTGATATAAATATTTTAAAAATTAATAATCTAAATTGGAATGCTTCAGCTCATGCCAATTTCTTCATTGTTGTAAAGACCATGCAGACAAAACCCCAAGCAGAGTCTCTATGTCCATGTGGATATATTTGGGAACAGCTGGCCAGTTCTTACTTGTCCTGTGTATGTGGTAAGGTCGAAGAAATACCAGCCTCTGCAAAGAGTTGGGTTGAGAAGTTTACTTGGAGAAAGACTGGCCCGCAAAGCTTCCATTTTATTCCTCTTCCCCACCTTCTGGAGATTGTCTCCTGTGGCCTTTGTTTAGCTCCAGCTGTCCCCAGCTGGCATTCCAGGTGGTAGTTCTGATATGAGCAAACGTGAATCTGTTCAACACCGACTCCTAAAAAATTAAAAGTTTCCTTAATTAAAAAAAAAGTTCCCTCCCAAGTAGAGCAGACAGCTGTTGCTAGAGCCATTTTCTGGAACACGAGACTGAAGCCTGAACGAGGATGGGTGAAGCAGACGGCTCGGCCCACTGACTCTGCCTGAGTGATAGAAGAGCAGGGTCTCACCGTAGGAGTCCTGGACTCACACAGCCTCCCTCTGAGCCCACTCTCCTGTGTCGTCTGCACTCCTGCTCCAACAGAGTGACAGGCCGGAGAGGCCTCTGGGCAAGCTCCTGACTCCAGCCAGGGCTCGGGCCACGACACCAGGCGGCCTGTTTCTTCTCCTCCACACATGGGTTTTTAAATAAGTTTAGTGGTGTAGTTGCTTTGGAAGAATTACCCTCTGCCTTCCTGCTGAAATTAGTTTATCCAACTTAATTAGATCAACAATTGCAGCCGTGGCCCCGGCTCATTCATTACTCTAATTGCCGATGTAAGATGTGCAGACTGATATGAGTTCTATTAAGCACATCAATTTTCATGTGGCCAAACAGGTGTTTCAGAAGGGATTTAATGCCCTCTCTGTAGACTTCAGCAACAGATGTTAGGTAATTTTTTTTTTTAATGTTCTCTTTTCCTGTTTGGGTTTGACATGAGGCAAACATAGTGAAATGCATGAGCCTCATTCTGTAAAGCTAAATCTGGAACCAGATAATGTGGAGGAAACCGCATGCATAAAGACCAAAGAGCTTGCACCTACTTGCAAGGCAAGAGCTGTGAATCGGCCCAGACTATGTATAGTTCTATTGGCCGAAGATTCTGGATGCTCCAGCAGAGTCAGGCCTGGGGCCATTCGTTCTGTCTCCTGACTGTTCCTTAACACCTCCTTCCTTGGAGAAGTGTTTGCCCAATTTAACACTGACCTATGCTGCTGGAAAGTTCCATCCAGCCGTGAACCTTAAAATACTTGTTTGCTCCAGCATGAAAACTGCTCATGACCAAACTTCCCCTGGGAGGGTCGGTCAGGGAGGCCATGTCTGACTGTGCTGCATGAGCTTGTCCCAGAAGTAGGGGCATAGGGTCCTCTTTCACCTGTAATCCCCGTCAGCTCCTGGCTGGAGCCACTTCTCCTGGGGTGGGTCATCTGGGTCAAAGCTAGGTATGGCACTAGGGCTTCTTTCCTTCTCCTGGGTCCTTCCTGTGGGTGCATTTTGGAAAAATCTCATTCCCCAGAGCACCCTAGAGTACGTGTCAGCTAGTTGACTTCAGAACAGTTTTCTTCATTGCATTAATTTAGCTGTGCTTGTGCTCCCTGCTTGCAGGTAATCCAGATTTAGACAGGCTTAGGTTTCCTCAGATAGGTTGGCTTCCAATGGAAAGTTATTTTAGAGTTTTTTTTTAAAGTAAAGAAATTATAGAGTCAAATGTTGTAAGTTTGTCTCTATAACGAAGACTTTTCCACCATCACAAGTTTTAAAAGCAAAAAAAAGTCCCAACAACCTGGGCAGAGTAGAAAATAGTTGCCAGCTAAGCACTAGTTTTGTCCTTTACCAAGATCTTTTCTGAAAATCCCTTATCAAGGCAGTTTCCTGTGAGAGACAGCCAAATCCCAGCTGATTTTTCTACCTGTGTCAAAGTCTGCCATTACTTGCCCTGAGAGCTTTGATGACTCTGTGTGTGTGTGCGCATGCGTGTGTGCACGCATGAGCGTTTGTGTGTGTGTGAGAGAGAGAGAGAGTTGGGAATATATAATGAATGTGCATTGGCTACTGTTGTCTCTGATTTGAATCTAAGTAAATGTTTAATTAAATGTATAGAATGCTGTCTCTAATATGACCCTCTCTCCTTATTAGATTCTCTTATTAACCCACTCCTATGAGACCATCTTATTTCTTGCAGATGAATGATGCTATGGGATTTGAATTGCCCTGGGTGTATTTTGTCAGTCTCGTCATCTTTGGGTCATTTTTCGTACTAAATCTTGTACTTGGTGTATTGAGCGGGTAAGCTACACCTCTTTCATCTTGAAAGCAGAGCACTGAGGACAGTTGCCAAGACCACACAGGCTTTGCTAGATGGGGACTGCCGGGTGGGTGCCAAGCGCTTTATGTGTCCTCTGAGATGCTCTCTTTTCTGCTGAGGCTTCCCAAGTCAAGATGTTTCCTGGAACCTCACCAGCCTTCATGAAAGAAAGCTATAGAATGATTATTGACCAGAAATTAATCAGCATTGTTACTTGGGATTTAAATAGTTTCCATGGCATGCCCTTTTGTCTGTCCTAAAATGAGATACATTTATAATTGCTTTATTGGTCTGGATCCAAATACAATGCAGATTAATTGGTAGCAAACAGTAGCTAAATGAGCTGGTCCTGGCTGACATTCAGTAGGCCACATTCGTAGATTTCAGCAGCAGAACTTATTTGAGAACAAAAAATGAAAGGCCGTAGGCAGGGTCCCTGTCCTAGGAGCACTAACCTTCAGTCAAAGCCCTGAGTGGTCTGGCAGCTGCTCCTGGGGGCTCTGCTCTTTAATAAATGGATAACTGATAACTGATCTCCTTACATTTTACAGGTAAATGATGCGATAGGATGGGAATGGCCATGGGTGTATTTTGTTAGTCTGATCATCCTTGGCTCATTTTTCGTCCTTAACCTGGTTCTTGGTGTCCTTAGTGGGTAAGCAGTTGGATCCATGTTGCACATTCTGCTGCTGCCACGTGTGCGGCGGCGCTGCGTGTCTCGCAGCTGCTCCTCGTGGCTTCTCTGCATGTGTGTGGACTCTGATGTCCCCTCTGTGTGTTGCTTTTGGATTGAACTGTGGTTCTTTCTGCCTGTGTGTGTCTGTGAGGTTCTGTGTTTCTGATGCTTGCCAAACACTATTAATTTAGTGAAAACGTTTCTCTGAAGCCAGTTGCATTCGTGTGCCAATGTGTAGAAGTGGACTACAAGTGGGTAAAAGGATTCCTAGCCTCGGTCCCCAGGAAAGGGCCGTTGTCTTTTGAGTTTTTTTCCCATTGATACATAACCTGGCCCTTTTAGGTTACCCACAGAGTATCATGAATATTTCCAGTGGTGTTTCAGATTTTGTTATGAAGGAGAAGTGAGCCTAGATTAGCACATAAATACTGAACAAAATCTTACATCTTTCAGATCAAGATCATTTATTAGCTTGGTTTTCTGCTGCTGTTGCTGTGAGAATTTTCCCTCAGAATCATTTTTAATCTTAATTGTAGAATCTTTCTTTAATGCAGGGTAACGATCAACTTTTGTACATAGATTTCCTACGGCCTTATCATCATCCTCATCACTCAGTCACCATTTTTGAAATTTCATTTTGTTTACCAAGTCAGCTCTGTGGGTTGACCCTCCATAAAGAGGGTTTGGTGGAGACTGAGTTGGGAAGAGGACTCCTGCTGTTTCTGGGCTCTGCTTTGCCTGTAGATGGAGATGCCATCCCAGAGCCCCTTTGGGCAGCTCTGCATTCTCCCAATCCCGCTGACACCCAGAAAGGGGAGCGCCCCAGAGAAGGGAGCCAGGGCTGTCTGGGCTTTCTCAGAAGCAGCTCCAGCATGTAACCATTGCCAGGGGCTCTGGGGGTGTGACTGGAGGCCCAGGAGGTACCCTTCTCCCCCAGGGGAGCCTTTGTCACTCCCTGAGCCCAGACAGCCTCAGGAAATACTATTGACAGACTTGATTCCAAGTGAGTTTATCTCTTCCTCGCTCACTTTATCTTCCTCTTGCTGAGATTGCATCTCGGGAAAGTGATGGCTTCATGTAGGCTGAGTCAGTGAAGAGACCTTTATCGCGTTTTTCTAAACACTGCCTGTTCCAGAGCAGAAAGCAGAGCTCGTTATCCACCTCTGCTTGCTTTCCTCATCTTCCCTCTCACCTGCCCTGCCTGCTCTCGGGATAACACATTTGGAATTTTCTTTGGCAGAGTGTGGTCAGTTTTACACCATGGACACACACTGTCATGTGAAGCCTCTATCTAGAAATGGCCAGGAGCTGACGCCCCATAGTTGGGGGGTGGGGGGTGGAGCGGAACTGAGCTGAGGGTTGATGGCATACCCTCGAGCCCTACCAAAGCTTCCTTCTACAGACAAAGGGCTCCTCAAGCCTCCTGTTCTTTCACTTACAACTTTAAAAGTGCCTGCCTCCTAATGAACCTCTGTGGCCTTAGGTTAGTGTTGGGATTGTAAGGGTGGAGTTCATCCCTGGAGACACAGCATTGTGCTTGACTTTGCCACGAGAACGGCCATACGAGGTTAACAGCAATTCTCTTATGAATTCCTTGGCGCCCCATGTCTCCTAAACCTAACTGAACTGACTGAGGCCATGGAAACCACTAATTTTAACAGTGCCAGTGACATGCCTTATCTCTGAGCTTCCTGGAGCAGGATCCATCGCCCCGCATGCTGCAGCTGCTTAAAAAAGAAAAAAGGAGAAGCTCAGAGGAAGGGCTCCTCATTATAATGGTGGGGGTTAAATATGCAGCCCCATGCAGGGGGCACCCAAAGCTGGAAGATAACAAAAAGGCACACCCCCTCATGGGACCACCAGTTTACTAAAATATATTTTGGGGAAAATAATTAGTGATTTAAAAACAGTTTTGTATCAAAACAAAATGAGAACGCTTACAAAGGAGAGTGCAAATGACACGTGAATTTTTAAAATAAAATCCAAGACTTCCCAGTGATATTCAGTGTCAGTTCATGCTGTGCCCCGACTCCAAGGGGCTGTGCACTGACTGGACTCCACCCGTAAGGCCAGCTTTGGTAGGAAGTACTGAGGGAACTTTGTGTAAGGTAAGAACCTCCTCTGCAAAGAAGAGCCTTGCAGCAGTGTTCACAAAATTGTCCAGCATTTCCTGAGTTGATGTTGAGTGCCGGCTCTGGGCCAGAGGCCAGAGGTGCCAAGATGTCTAAGACACAGACAGAGGCCTTGTGCTCAGACATTCATTGTCTGGTGGGGGAGACTGTTAAGTGGTGCAGGATGGCAAAGCTAGAGTAGAGGTGTGGACCAAGGGGATGTGACAGCCACATGTCTGTGAGCTGGATCTTGAAAGATGGTAAGATGTCTGCCAGGGGGAAATTGAGGACAAGCTGACACGCTCTCACCTCCCCTAATAATTCTTCTCTGCCCAATTACAACTCCCTGACTTTCCTGCAAAGCAACAAATTGGGTTATTTGTGTTCATTTTCTTGTTAAAGCAAATTTAAATTATTTTTATATTAATTTTAGGGTTCTTCACAATTTTTTTAGGGAGCACTAGAGAGATTACAAAACTAGAAGACGTAAATGTTAAAAGGAAAATGACTTATGTTGCAAACCCCATTAGGGACCATCAGACCAACAAAAACACAATCCTCAAAGCACCGAATTTTAGAAGTTTAAGACCATGCTATTGCCTTCTGATGAAGAATCGTTAAGTGATGCTGTGTGTCGTTAAGTCTGTTAATCATGTGGAAATCTTTGTTTTTGCTTGTTGGCGCCTTTTTTCGTGTGGCCATGCCATCCTATTGTATTCTTGAACTGATTTTAATCTGCACACTTGATTTGGTGTTGGTACATTTTTAAAGCATTATAAGACTGATGCTTTGGAAAAATCTTTGGTTTAATAAGAGACCCTTTTTCTCAAGGTGAGTATGAAGTTTATCAACTGGCTACCCTGTGTAGCCAAGCATGAACAGAGATGACGATGATGATAGTGTTCTGTGGGAGGAGCCAAGAATGTCTCTAACTCATGTTGCGATTTCACGTTAAGTTGTCATTGAGGAGATGGTCCCGTTATGACCAGGGGTTGGAAGGAATGTCTCATTCCAGTCTACAATTCAGACAGATTATGTCTGTTCTCATAACTTGGTGACTTTTCACTTGTATAATTGTTCATTTGACTCCTTGTCCCTTTTGAGGTTTTTGTCAGTAAATAGGCAAAATAAGAGAACACAATGTTTCAGCATTTTCTTTAGAATCACTGCCAGAGTCCCAGGGGGAAAGTGGTGGTCTTTGGACAGTGGGCTCACTTCTTCACTTGCACGACCCAGCTGATGTTGGGCACACCTGTGGTAAGGTGGAGGGCCCTTTATGCCCCCACGGTAGGGTTCAGACCCCCAAGAAGGGGCTGGTCGATGAGAAGGGAGCTAGAAGACCTGGGTTCTGGTGCTGCCAGTGTCGTGCACTAACTCTGGGGCTTCACTCAGGAGTCCTGAGCCTCGGTCTCCTCGTCCCTCAAACAGAATGATCCTGTCACGCTGCCTTCCCCACAGGGTGGCTGCCTTTAAAGCAGCTAATGAACATAGAAGGGCTTTGAGAGTATACAAAGGATTCTACTCATTTAATGTATCTTTACCTTAAATCTATGGCCCTCTCCTCAGTCCCCTCCCTGGGGGAAGTGGGAACAGCCAAAGGGGCTCTTTGCAAATGATCTAAAGTGTACCACTTTCTGATTTCCCAGGAAGTGACCAAGAAAAATGTGCTTTGTACACACATTAATACTATATGCTGTGCCCCCAAGAGGAGGCCGTCGAGGGTGTGGAGGTCCTTTGTCAGCTATAGTGTTGTGCAGCTTTAAATAGTTATGATTGAAGTTACAGCTGATAGTGATTGTTTTACACAAATAGAGGGCAATGGCCTTTCTGTAACACAGTGGTTAAATGCACTGGCTCTACGGTTGGATAACCAAGACTTGGATCTTTGCTCTAGCTTTTACCAAGTGTGAGATTTAGAGCAGATTTCTTAACTGTTTGAGCCTCACTTTCCTATCTGAAATGGAGCTAATAGTACTAACTGCGTGGAGCTGCATGAGGATTCAATGGGCTAAAGAGAGTAGAGTGTTTGGTCATTGTTATGGTGATGGCTCGAGTAAGTATAAAAGGGCATTTGATGCAGGAAAAAAAATCTAATCAACTCAGTCCCTTTTTTTAAAATGATTAATTTTCGGATGTACGTCATAATATATTTCGAATTCTGTGTAGATTACATCATGTTCACCACCCGAAAACT